ATACACTGGATGTCCCAGATCAACATGGACAAATTTAGGATTGACAAAGAGGGAACTGGGGTGAACAACATTTCTTCTACCATTTTGCAAACAATATGCAAAATTTTAAGTAATTAAGTGCGGTAAATAGCCATATATAGGGGTTTCTTTAATCGACAACTCAAAATTAAGTATATTATTTGCAAAATGGTAAAAGACTATTTTGTTCAGAATAGTCTAATATACAAATAAATGGCAGCTGTTGTATTTTTGTACCTGTTGTTTATAAAATGATACAGTGTAGTGTTATTCACCTCAATAGGTTCAACGATCTTACGCAATTTGTCTATGTCTGAGACAACCAGTAATAATCACTACGGAAATATCAATGATCGTTAATTTAACGTACCGTCTATACGCGCAAACAAATTCTCTTACTTTTGGTTATGCCAAATAAACTTTATATAGACTCACATAATAAAAATATCTCATAATTTACCATATATTGCGTTCAACGTATGTTCAGAAGCAAATGTAAAGACATTCTTTTCAATAGTTCCACCGACATCTTTTAAGGTCTTGGTCATGAGTTGTCGCTCCACAATTAAAACATCAACATACTTTCGCAATACATTGAAATGAAATGCAGACGTCAGTATCTTACGTCGTGAGTGCCACTTGGCATCTAAAATATATATAAAATTATGACTAGCAACATTTTTTGAATAATTTTAGCTCAAATATTATCACGCGATAACCCTACAGAATAAAATTAAATAAGGCCAATAACGCTCGCCTGCTGCCTGCGATTACTTCTCGCGCTTTTGAATTTATCATTCAACTAATAAACTTTAGTATAGTTATTGTTTCAGATTGATTCATTTTTGTCACTTGTCTTATTAAGTAGTTGTCGAAAATTGGCGAGATAGAATGAAGGAGAATTCTTAAGCTCCGTTTTATATGTTTTCTTTTTCCTTATGCACTAAATCGATAACAAAATATTTTGCCGTAAATTCACATTTTGTTATGTCATTATTAAAATTATGAATAGATAGAAAAAAAATTTGTCGCACGGCACGGTTTAATTGCTATTCATATGTGACCGGAGACATATATTTTTACATTAGATCTCACTTGCAAACTCGTGAGCTTACAATGAAAAAGTGATACAGCTTTATCAGCTTGAGAAAATATTTAAGTCTGTTTGTGTGTAATATTATATATTTTCCGACATTACAATACTATACATTTTTTTTCATCGTAATAAGTGTATAATGAATTATATGCTCCAGTACATAGTACTCAATAATTCGAAGCGTACGTCGGAAAGTTGAACATAAAAAATGTTACCAAAAGTGGGAGGATCTCTGGAAGAAGGTTATGTCTTCCAAAAAGAAGTATACTGGAGGAAACACGACGTTATTGGCCAAAAATTAACTCTTTCTTCTGCTACAGCACTAAGTCGGATATTTTCCGTGCAGACGTTGTATATGCGTCTATTTATGATATTAATTTTTGCTACATTACCTCTGCTGGTAAGAAGTCCAGTATTTAGCCAAGGAATAAAAATATTGTATATTATACTTTTTTCTATATGCTTCGTATTGTTTAATATTACCTGGAATCACAAGAGATGCATTGTGTGCAGTATTATTTTAATATAACGCTGAAATTCACGTGAAGCTAATTAATTAAACGTTTCACTACAAAACAATTTCAAATACTACTTTTGAAAGACCATGTTCGAAAAAATTAAAGCTTTTTTCGATACGTAAATAACAATATATAGGAATAGTTTCATTATTGCAAATTTTCTGATTTTTAATAACTTTAGAAAAATTTTTTAAAACATATACACTTTCCCTCAAGTTATTATAACTTTTTCTTTTCACATAATACCTCGAGATCATCTGGATGACGGATAGTTACCAAACATATATGGAACCCCCAAAATTTAGTAATTGGATAATATTTGTCCATCATAGTACAAAAAACAACCAAAGTTTGTCTGAAATCCGTGCAAATATATTATAAATCACGATATGCGGAAAGTATGTTATTAATGTTTCCATTCTTTAAATACGCTATACCATTACAAAAGCTGAAATCGAGCATGATAAATTAAAGCAATCAAGAATAACAAATGAGAGAAAGGAAAAAAATTAATGTTATATACTATCTATAATTTTATGTTAACATATAGTTCGGAATCAGCTTGAGCAAATAAAAAGTATGTCACATATTTCTGAATTATTAATTAATTAATAGCAAATGTATCGATAACTTCCACTTACCGCGTGGCAGTTATATTTGCACTATATTGCCAAGAATCGGAATACCTTTCAGTCCTGGTATTTCATTGATCAATCGTCCGGCTCCTGAGTGATGCACGTAATAATCATAAGCAAATATAATAATGATAACAATAATTAGGAATAAAAGTATCGTGATGATTATTTTCGAACTCAGCAATGAACGGCTTTGCTGTTTTGTATGTTTGCAAAATAATTATGTCTCGCCAGAACAAGCTGGTGGATGAGATCTATGCGACTGTCGCTGCGATACTGAACCGGGCGACCGTGATTTTTAATGTGTCGAGTTACGGTTGAGAAATTATTAATAGCTTTGTAGCTAATCCAATATTCTGAATATTTTGATACGTCGGGGAGTTGCTCCGACTATCTCGACAGCACAACGCAACAAATGCTTGCCTCTAAGAAAATTATATTGTAAGTGAGAATTTTTGCACAGATGAAAAATAAATTCATTTTACAACTTGTTTTATAACAAGCTGCATGAAACGTTCATATATGTATCTGAGGAAAACATCCGATAGCGACCTTGTCTATATCAGGGATGTTCTTTTTCAAGGTCATTTGATGATCAACTTTTTAAATGGAATGCTATTTTTGATACTAGAAATCAGTAGAAGAGGAAATTTTATTCTAAAAACATGTTGCAACATGTGGGGTCAAATTGACCGCAAAGGATCACTTTATGGTCAAAAAAGTTTTCACTCCAGAAATGAATAAAGTATATCAAAGCAGTCTGACGTTCAGTTACACTTCATGGGGTCAAGTTGACTCCA